TATCATACTGGTGTACAAGATTGCAGACTCACAGTTACACAGATTAAAATTGTTTTATTTTCAATTACCTGCAGGTTCAATTGTTTTATTTTCAATTACCTGCAGGTAATTGAAAATAAAACAATTTTAATCTGTGTAACTGTGAGTCTGCAATCTTGTACACCAGTATGATAAGTCCTATTAATAGAAATACACTGATATAGTGATTAAAAGAATAATTTTGGTCATGATCCATTGATTTAATTCATGAAGCTACTATAGAAATATAGTAGAGCATCAATTATCTGAATATCGATCATCTGAAACATTGGTTAACCAAAAGCGTTCCAGTTGACAAATTTAAATTTCTGTTGGTGCTGTGGCGCTGCAATATTTGGCTATATCTTGGATTACTTCAATATTATTTTTGTTGGTGTGCATGTTTTAGCTGGCAGCACTGGCATGACCATGAGAGGGTACTTAAGGATGCACCAGGATTTGAACAAATTTCAACATGGGATAGGTTAATATCTTTTTTCATACATAATCAGTTATCCGAAAAATTGATTATCCGAACGACCTCAGTCCCAAATTGTTTTAGATAATTGATGCTCTACTGTATGTCAAAGACCCAAACAATGTCATAATATACATGCTTCTATTATCTGTAGTTGGTAAGCTTGTATATAACTAGTGAATACAATCACTTTGAACATTTCTTGTACATTTAATTTTTCTTTAAGTGTTAGTTAACTAAATGTAACTTGTTTCTAAACTAATGAATAATAAACTGTTATAGTTTGTACTAGTTAGTGTTGAAATAGTAAACTGATTTGAAATAAAGATTTGTCTCCATAACTTGGTTATCTTTGATAATCAGACAGGAATGTATTAACATTTTTTACTGTAAATTAAATAATTGATCATGCCATAAAGTTTTATTTGTCACTTTGAATTACCCTGTATATTCTTTATAGTTTTGGAAAGTTTATCTCCTTTCAAGATTATAAATAGATTTGATAAAAGATTGAAAAGGATTATAACTTCAAACTAAAACCAAAATTACTAAATATCAAATTAAATGAAAAGAATATTCATACACTTAAAATTGTCCTATTGTTAATACATGTATGGAAATGTTAACAGATTCAATCATCAAGGCCAAAACTATATGAACAATGTTATCTTAGTTAAGTCTTTTTGTATGACAATCTTTCCATATCTCAAAGCTGTCATATCAGATAATTATACTTTTTCATATTCTACATTTTTTGCATTTTAAAAAAAAAAATAAANTATTAAATAATTTAGAACCATCTGGAAGAAAATAACTAACTCAGAGTGGGATTGAATCTGCAATCTCCACTTATTGTGCAGTGTTCTGCAAGTTATGCCATCTAGACTTGCAAGCAATTCTTCAAATCCAGACATATTTAAACCTATATATAATCATCCATGGTTACTTAGCTCTGGGCTAGTTTTTTCTTCCAGATGGTTTTAAATTATTTAATAAATTATTAAATTATTATTATTAATTTAGATAAGATATGGCACCTAATGTTTACCTCTAATACCAAATTACTTAATATCTAATTAATAGTAGCTAAATAATAACCCGATTAATGACAGTGATCATTTGATTTAGTATCCTATTGAAAATATAAGTTTCCGTATAAGGAATCTTGTAGAAAATTTATCCACAATGCTTTTCAATAGTATCATACTAGCAAAGAGAATGAATAGATCCTATATAATAATTGATTGTATTATATTTGTTAGAAATGAATGTGAAATCCGGAATTTTTACCGATTTTTCCGATTAACGTCCCGTATTTTCCTAAACCCCCAATTAAATTTTTCTATAAATCCTAAGCTAAACCCGAACTTGAAAAAGGGGAAAAAATTCCAATCTTCCCTTTCGTTCAAAGTAAACATCCGTCCACTTCGAAAATAATCCCACATTCCAACTCTAAAGTTGATAGTTAGCATGGTCCCGGGGACAACTTTGACCCATCCACGTATCTTTAACCTCTCAACAATTAATCACGTGACCATTCTCCCACGATGAAACTATAAAAGCCACTTGCTTCCCTCTCTCAGGGGAGTCGTTCATCAACCGTCACCTACAATTTCCTTGAATATTGTGTCCTTCCAATACTGTGTCCTGGTCCTACTGTGTTGGATAAAATAATATTTTCCTCAAGGATAACTATCGACATAAAGAGGTATGGAACAAATTTTTGTGAACTCTCTCTCGGCCCTTCGCGTTTTAGGGACTCAGAATTTTCCCTCAATAATAGTTATTGTACCGTCTATATAGGTAGCTAATAAATTGGTGTCCTCTTTTACTTTTATATCACCTGTCACCTTACCGACGGCACTCCTCCCTCCTATACTCGACCAGACCCAAAAAAAATTAGTCCCGTTCCCTTGGGATAAACTAAAACCTTAAGCCATCTCTGACAAGTGAGCAAGTCCCTCCGACTTGAAAGCCGATCCACGGAGGTACGACATAGTCATACCCCTCGTTTCTCACATAATCATCATAAATGATGGCATGGTATATTTTTATGTAGATAAACAAAATGTAAAACAGAAAATATTAAAAAACAAACAAACTTACAAATGATTGCTAATATTTTGGTAACACTTTGTTTTAATGAAACTAAAAATGAAAAGAAACAATCATGTAATTTTACAATATGATGATAGATAAACACTCACTGTAGCTATTTGACTTCTGTTGTTCTATCAGTTTTTATTAAAATTTGTTGTTTGTTGTTATCAATAATTTGTATTGTTATAATGAAGTTAACAATTTCTCTCTAAAATTAATAATGACCAATTTTACTATGATATTTACAAATAGCAACTATAAACTAATTTGACAGACAGAAATTTAAAACTTTTAAAATATGGTTTAAAGTTACGATGAATTCACATTTTAATCCAATAGAACTCTATTTTCTTCATGATCTCTTCAGTTATGTACAGTATGTTCAATAAGAATACTGATGATAATACTATGCTATGTTATCCTTTTCAAATGCCAGCTATATGTTTAATCTCAAATGCAATGATCTGGATTTATAGCTTATATATTGTCATATGCTAACTCATAATGAAATGAAATGTATTGGGATAAGTCTAGATTTCAAATTGTGGTGAATTTGCTGAAGAATATAAGGTATTAAGGTAAAAAGGTGAAGGAGAATGACTGAATTTAAAAGTACTGATGTCTTATCTTAACATTACAGTATTTATTACAGAGATAAGAAAAAACATAATAGACATTTGTAATATCTTAAATTTAATTTATCAAATCTTTTCATATAATTTATAATTTAGTATTTGTAGTTTAATATATTTTTTTTTTTTTATTTTATTCTTGACTAATCTTATAATTGCTACTGAACATAGCTGTAAGTTTTTTAGTGAAGAAAGTAGAATCTATTGAATTCAATTTATAGTGTAATAATCAATATAATGCTCCTTATAATTTATAAAAATAGAAAATTGCCATAACCAACTTGGAAAAAGAATAAAATTTAGAAATAATTATCTGGCAAAGAAGAAAATTTCAAATTGATATGGCAAAGATTAATCAAATAATCTTCAGCCTTTATCTTATGTAGTAGCATTATTAGTTTAATTAGTGTCTGGGATGAAACTACCAATAAGAAAGTTTAGTAATTTCATAATAAATTTATTAAAATTCTATTTGTGGTAAAGGTAAAATACAGAGGAATTTAAGTTTTTGTGGATATCAATAAATCTCCAATAAATAAATTAATCACCGTTCCTCATGTAGCACAAGATATCTAGATAGTACTGTATTCAGTTTTTTCTCATGTGTTTTTTAGTATCTGTAGAGTTATATAACCTTTTATGAAGAACACCATGGAAGGTTGGTTGGTTTGGTATCTCTAGTTCTCTACTGATGTGAAAAACATACTTAATCTGTTCTATGTACTGAAGTGTACTTAAGTTACTGGATTGCTCTACAAATTGCATCAATATGATGTTTAGACACTTTCTTATATCTATATTTTTCCTTACAAGTGAGCTAGCTTCACACAGTGTTTTATGTCAGATTGTTATTCTCTCTCTCTTGCTGGTCATTCTTGTTGGTATTTTTTCAGAATTTTCTTTGCACTTTCACAGAAAACTTAACTTTGGCTCAACAATAACAACAATAGAATTTCTTCTGCACTATGAACACCATTTTGATGCCAGCTCTGCAGCTGTACCATCTGTAGTAATGAAAACTTACTTCTTAGAACCTTTCTTATTAGTAGTTCTTGTCCTGTATTACACACATAGATGAGTACTAAAGTACAGTATTGTTAACAGTTAAATTAATATTTTTTTTATTACTGTTATAAAACATACTTTTCTCAAAGCATAACTGTAGATATAAATAATTCTAAAACATGTATAAAAGAAGACATTAAAAAATGCAAATTTAGGATGAGTTTATCTGATTCTGAAATTTATTACAAAAAAATCATTAAGCTATAATTTGATGAATGCAAAAATTTTATCATGAAATATGTTTAAACTTTAATATGATAGCTTACTAAACAGGCCTTCAAAATCATTTTATCATATATATATACAAAAATTATTATAGTATGATGAAAGTGTAAATGAAATATTTAATTTAATTGCATTTCAATTATATTTATTTAGCATTGTAATCATTTTTCATGCTAACATTTTTGCATAGAACAAATATATGAGCCTATTCATTATTTATGAAAAATTTGTTTAATTTTTTTTTTCATTTTTTAATGTTTTGTTTAGTTGGGTCATTTGTCAATGCAGTAAGAGTTTTAACTTATGTATAAAAAGTTAGCTACTTGCAAAGCATAGATTTGGAAATCACATTTTATAATACTGTGATATAATGAAATTCATATATTTCAATTAGTAAATAGTTTCTAACATATTAAATATTTATAAATTTTTACTTGTCTTGAATTTATTTTAAAACTATTTTTTTTTTTTCTTTTTAACAGAATTACATAAAGAAGATTTTCAATGTGTGTTTCTCTGAAATTTTATTTAAATATGATGAGGTGACTTTAAATGTGATGTACATTATGCCTTCTGAGGCAATTCAGACTGTATTACCTTGGTTTATATCCATTTCCATTTTGACTACTTTGGTTGTTTTAATAATTTTATGTGCATGTAAAAAGAGAAAGGAAAGGTAAATTAGAATATTTGTTGTTATTAAATGTTATCACTAAACTTATTTTGTAATTTTAATAATCTGTTACTCTGAAAAATTTAGTGACAGAAGAATTTACTATAGTTTTAGCATTTTTTTTTTATCTTCATATTTTATTATGCTTATGTTTTGATATTTTTGATATGAAAAGTAAACACAAAATAGCAAATGTCCAGTTACTAAAACTATTATAAGTTAACCTAATGAAATAAAAGAGTTATCTATTGATATATGTTCTTATAATATAGAAATATTCTTTGATTTGTGTAAGAAAACTTTTTGTAATTATGAATATAACTATTTATTATAATTTTCAATTTTGAGAAAACTGTGTACAGCTTCCAATTACTTAAAATTTGATGTCTTTCAATGTTCTATACAGGGTGATCCATTTTAATCAATCCACTGAAATAACTTGAAAAATATGCATTCTACAAAAATTTATTGGCCCAAAAATGTTATACTTCAAGGGGGTGATAAGATGGGGTTATTGGTTTTGTCATAGTTTTATTGTAAATTTTCATATGTATGGTATGGGGACTGCATAAAAGTTTGTGTTTGTAACTTCTGATAAGTGTATTTTTTGAAAAACTATTTTAAATAGAAGATTGTTTGTTTTCTATATAGAATCATTATATGCAGTAAAAAGTGGGTTCCATTTATAGCATCATCTGTGATGAAACTGATAGTCCCATTTTATGGTTTGTTTAAAATTTAATACTTTGGTTTAATGCTATTTTTTAGTATTTGTAGTTTTTGAGTTATTTCAGTAGATTGATTAAAATGGATCACCCACTGTAATAATTATACAAATTGCTTTAAAATTTTTTTCTAGATATTCTATAATAACTTACATACACAAAAAATAGTAAGAAAGATTATAATTTTATCCAGTACAAATTAAAAGAAAGAATGTTTTTATTAAATCTGCAGTTAAAGCTAATTAAGAAATAAAATTTGAAAATTTATCTTTATTGCATTTATTTTCCCTTTTAATTTTACAGAAGGTATATTTCATAGTGGTAGGTTATATTTTCTCATTTCATTTTTATAATTTTTTAATTTCAGTAATTCACATGCAATAAATGAACGTGCTTTACCTGATATTCCCATTCATGACTTGAATAGGGAAGTTACAGGTAATGAGAATAATATTACATCTGTTGAAAATGCAAGTTATTATGCCCCTGTTACTAAAGCAGTTCGACCAAAAGCACACAATCCAAACAAACCTCATGCTCCATCTCCTCCTGTGGCAGCAAATGCCTCCCAGTCAGTAAGTAGTCTTAAATTTATAATAAAAAGAAAAACATTAAAAGAAAATTATCTATATTTGTTTTAAAAAAATATTTCAATTAATTTTAATGATATTCCATTTTAAATTTTAATTTACTATATACATATACACTTTATTTTAAAGTCTGAAGTTAATACTACTATCAAATCAAATGTTTCATTACTTCTGTTTAATTTTTGAATAGGCAGTTACTTCAGGACTATAAAGAGAGAAATATTTAATGTTTTTGGATCAAATACTGTAACCTTCAGAAATAAAAGAGGGTTATTTTTTTTAAACTAGACATTAAACAATAATAATAATAAAGTAACCCCTTGATTTAATGGACTAATTGGTGGAAAGGGTGTTTGTTAATACCAAAAGTCCATTAAATTGAATATGCTTTAAAACATTTATTAATAATGTGCAAGATGTATTAAAATGTTGTTATGGTGTATAAATATGAATTTAAAAAAATATTATTATATACATTTAGTAATTTATACTCATTCACTTATTATTCTAACTTTTTAGTGCGCTCCATTTGCAAATAAAGAAGATTTTAAATTTTTTCTATAGGATAAATTTTTTATTCATTAAATTCAGTCCATTAAATTGGGGTTTATCATATATTAATTAAAAGAACAAAATCATATTGTTGAAAATTGGAAGTATTGTATTATTGGTTTAACCTTATCATAGAAATGATAGTTTTGTTCTATGTAAAAAAACTTTATCAAATTTCTCTTCAGCAATTTTTTAAATTTTCTTTCCATTCAAAATAACTAGTAGAGCATATGACATACTGGCATGGGGAAAAAAAAGACTTCAGAATTTATTCATGAATGATTCATAAATTCTAAATAATATTAAACATTAAAATCCTATTTTAGTGTTTTAGAATCATTACTACTAAATAATTTTGAGCAGTATAATTATATTCTATAACAACATTTCAATTTTTTATTTAAAAGTTTAAAAGTTCAAATAATTTAATTAGCTAGATTAAATAAATTATTTTTAATTAAAGTAAATTAATAGTAAGATAAAAATTTTTAAAAATAAAAATGAATGAAGTTTCTCATTAATAAATTGTTTAATTGTTGAAATTAACTATCTCTGTAATTAATTTTTGTTTTTAATTCTTACAAGGTTTGTTATTTCATTTAATCTTAAATTGATAATCTCTCTGTTAATAATTCATATTTTCAAATTTAATTTTTTATTTTTATTCAGTACATGTTCATCTGTCACTTTTGCATTATTTTTATACTACTATATTCTAGTAGTGATTCTTTTCATAATTGATTTAATATAGCAGTTTTTATTATGGTAATATAATCAAATATAGAACAGAAACCAACTGAAATTTTAAAAATCTCTTCTCATTCTAAATGCATATTTTTTTCTTAGTATTTGTTCCATCAATTTCTCTCTCTTATGTCATTATATTGTAAGATTCTGATTGGAACGCCACTGCAAGATATTTATAACTCTGCCATAAAACATCACATCAAAGTATCAATATTCTCATGATTCAAATTAACACAATTTGCTATAATCAATGAGTCCAGAGTCTACAAAAGGCAAAAAACAGGAAGGACAAGCAGTTGCTGCATGATGTTTGCAGAAGACCCTGTCCATAAGGTCCTCCCTTTGGCAAAGAAAATGCTTTCTTGCCAAATTCTGAATGGCGGATATAAGAATTCTTGCTGAACTTCAATGAAAAAGAAATGTGTGGGAGCTGGATTCTAACAGGAAATATATAGTAGAAGTTTTTGGACACTTGGATCAGACCATTCAAAAAAAGACACCAATGAAGCAATGGCAAGGAAAATCCTCAAGATATCTGTAAAGAAACCATTTATTCTGGTAACTATTATTTGTGGCAAGTCTGAACCCATATGATGCTAAACATTTCACAAAGATTGTGTGCATGTGTGTGCATGCTTGTCTTTAAAGTGGGGTTTGCTGCCAGTCTCTGCTCAGGTCATAGATGATATACAGGCAAATCCCACAATATTATATAATACAATAAAATTTATTTGAGAGTATTTATTATGTGGTCCTTATGTCTATTGTATATTTCTTATTGTTTGTTTGATTTTTAAAAATTTCCTTAATCTGAATATATATTAATTATAGAATCTAATAAATTTTATTCAAAAATTTTATTTAAAATATAAATTAGCTTTAATTTACTTCAATATATAAACTTTCTTCATTGAGTATTTGTAAATGAGACAAATAATCTTTTAATGAATTTATTCATTAGATTAATTAATTTACATAAGAGAGAGATTGGTGAGAAAAATTACTATAAAAGATGTAAAAGGCTTTAGATTTAATGTAATCTTATCAATGCAAACTATCTCAAACTGGACATTACAGTACATCAGAAAACACCAAAAATAGAATGCTTCAAAATTTGAAACATTGCATTTGTATAATGGTTATTGTAAATAGTCATCAGCAAGAAGTTTTAATAATTACAATTACTTTTTTGTATATTGAATTTTTGAATTAAATATTACAAATGTTTAAAATTACAATAGCAGTAGAAGTTTGTTAAGAGTGGTGACAGATTATCAAAAATTCCAGATTATTGGAAATCTTTGTATTTTTCAAAATTCAATAAATTATATGTGATCTGAAAATTGCAGACATTGCTGTTCATTTTGTATTATTGGATGCTGTTATATACAGCATATTTTATTTATTTATACACATTATTTAATTAGTCTGAATATGATGTATGTAATGTATGATTATACTGTGTTAAGACTGATCAAAAAACCCTGCAAAAACATTAATAAACATACAGGGTTCCTTCAATAGAAAACAGAAAAATGCCAATAAAAGTCAACAGGATGAGCAATAATGTAGTAATTTTGACATGACACATCCAATCAGAGACAAAAAACAGCCATAGTTCTGTGGAATATTCTCCATGGCATTCATTGTAGTTCCAGTCATAATCTTCCACAAAACTGTGGCTGTTTTTGGAATCTTAGAACTCTACTTGTGTACACTTGTGTGCAACTCATAAAATTGTCTCCTTACTGTACTTTCATGCACCAATGGATGTTGATTGGTTTTTGTCAAAAATTGGATAACATTACACTGCTCTTACTTCATGCAATGCTGGAGGAGGGGTACTGCCATTTTATTGATACATTGTCATGATCAATTGTGTGACTGGCAACATTGTTGATGTTTTCTCGCATAAACAGTGTTGCCAGTCACAGTTACTGTTGCCTCTGGTTGGAAGTGTCTGCATCAAAATTATTATGCTATTGTTCATCCTCCCAACTTTTATTAACACTTTTCTGATTTTCTATTGAACATGCCTTGTATTATTATACAAAATTATCATTAACAATGTGCATATGATAATTATTTTCCAGAATTACTATATTTCTGCCTAGAATCTTTGGTGCACTGTGTCCAAATAAATTTCAGTTTATGGAATACTATCATGCCAAATTATTGTTGGTTACTTTTCAGCGGCTGCCAGGTTACTGAATACAGTGGAACCTCGCATAATGAACAAAACAAATTGTAAAAAATTGTCTCGCATAACGAGTAACGAGGAGAAGGAGAAGTCTCGAATTGTGCACATGCTCCATCAGTCTGTGTTTAGCAGTTGTTCCGCTAGCATCTTAGTGTCGCTTGTGATCACATATTTTTCCAAACTTGTGTTCACACACACTACTTTTAAACGTCAACAACCATAGCCCGTTATATAATAAACACACCAAACAATATGCCAAATTCTTGGGCTATGTAAAGGCTATAATTAAATATTAGAAATTAATTAATTTGACAAGAGGTAGACAGTTATGCTTCCATCTCATATTAAATTTGGAGTGTTTATCAAACACATTATCAGTGATTTTTTAATATTTTTTCTGCAAATTGAATTCTCATTCCAGGTTGGTTCATTCCGCACTAGAAGAGAAGAAGATGATGATGTTTTTACGCTCCTTAACAATGCATATTGTACAATTTTCTTTGAATAAACATTATACATAAAATATTTGAGTATTTTTTTGGTGTGGAATGCATTATTGTATTTTACGTTAATTTCTATGGGAAAAATTGTTTCGCTTAACGAGTGTTTCACATTACGAGTACAATTCTGGAACAAATTATGCTCGTTAAGTGATATTCCACTGTATTTTATATTTTTGAGTGCCAGATTAATAAACTTCTACTGCATCTTCTTTTCCTATATGTGATCATAGTGATGTAAATTTTATTTATAATTGTTTAATCAAGCTTTTAAATTTGATGTTTAAAAGTATAATTAGAATAAGTAATAATTATTTAATTTTATTTTTAAGTTTATCAGAATATTTTAAAACTTAAATGATAAAAAGTATTCTGTGGATGGCTAATTGAATTTTAATTTCTATATTTTTTTGTTAAGATTAAGAAATATACTGTAAATCTGAATTATCAGTTAAGGTGCTAAGACAAAATAAAATCATTGAAACTATGCTATTGTATCAAAAATTTTGATATATTGGCATATTGTAGACCTAGTTAAGCTTCAGTCAATAAATCATATCAGATTAGATATTGAAAAATTATTTCAAAAGTATGATTAATAAATAATTTTTATATTTCAAATTGAAACAAAGTGATTAAACAGATAAAACTTGCATCTCAATAAAACTATAGACAAATTATAAATTTTTCAGTTAAACTTTATTATTTTTGTAATTACTTACATAAAATAGTTTTTTTGTATATAATAATATTTTGCCATAGATGGATTATAACTAAGAGCATTTATTTTTATTCAAAAAAAATAAATTTATTGTTAATGTTATAAAATTAAAACTATTTGAAAAAAATATTGAAAAATTGAATAACATTTGTTTTAATATAATTTATGGTCTTTTTCTTTGTTAGTTTAATCAAAAGTTTTAAAACATAAGGAAGTAGTTAGTATTTCATATTTATACAAATTTTTTGATAAAATGTGTGAAAAACTTCTTCCTTTTATTTTACTTTGTATAATAAATTACGAAATATCCTGTTAAGATTTCAATTGTAGATTCATACATGGAATTTTATTTTATAGAAAAAGTAGATCACAAAAAGATTTTTACGAGATTTATAACTTTTATAATTGTAATTCATATATATGATGAATAAACTTATATAAATATTTAAAAATTACTTATAATGTATATAATTTGTAATTTTAGAGCAAAGTATCATCATCTCCAACTAATTCTATTCCTAACTCATCAAACAATGCATCTATTGAGTACAGTTCTCCTAACATATCACATATGTATGCAGAAGTTCAAAGGCATCCTAAAAATCCATATGAGAAGTTAAAAGGTCAGTCAGATTCAGATCATGATACTGATGAATATGATGATCCAGATAAATTTCGAAGGAACAGAAAACAATGGCCAAATTTTCAGTCTGATTTATATGAACCACCTCCAGTTCCAGAAAAGCAAAATATTTATGATGATGATTTGGCATCTATTCCTGAAATATGTAAATATATTTTTGAATGTTGATAATTTGTTTTAATTAAAATGTTTTATATTCTTAGTTCACAAAAAATTTCAGGAATTAAAAAATTAATCAAGAGAACTTTTCAGATGAATACTGTATTTTTGAATATAAGATGTAACATAAATCAATTATACTGTATTTAAGCTTATATTAGAATATTACATATTTAATAGAAATAAAATATTTAGAAATTGAATAAAATTATAAAATGTAAAAATAAAAAATGTGTATAAATTCTAATTGTCATTTTCTGAATTTCAGCTCATAATCAAGAACAAAATGAAGATTTATCAAATACAATAGCTGGCCAAGCAGTNTGCAATGATACACCAACAACTGCTGTAAATCATCGGGTAATAATTGGAAATAATAATTATAAATTACAAATGAATTTAACAATAGATGGAGGTGTTAGGCATTAATGATTTACACCAGGCATTACAGCATGAGTGGCTGCGACTGTGCGACATCTAGTGATGGAACTTAGAAGTTTCTGCACTAGCTATTCCTCCAATCAATGTTGTCAATGCAATGATTCTGGGGCCTTACGGCCGCATTTGCTCAAAACTACGTGCTCACTTGTGCAACAAACCTAAACCTATTTCTAACTAATATAATCAATAACTTTCTTCCAATTTTTCTTTACAGCGGATTCGACATTCAAGAGTGTAAGTCAATCAAACCTTGGCTTAAGTACATTACCAAAGAAGATAGGTTTAGGTTTGTTGCACAAGCGAGCCAAAGTGAGTGTTTGCGTGACTTGTGGCCATAAGGCCGCAGAATTATTGCATTGACAAAATCAGGCGCCAACGTCATCTTCGTCATCGAACCCCAGGACCTAACCAAAGCAGGGACCAGCGGCCTCACCCCCACGACATCAGGAATAGGCTAGGTGTCGCCAGGTAGTGAGATGATGTTGCGGGAGATGCGATTGTTTTCTAACCAATTCTTGATTTCGATACAGGAATATAATAAGTGCCCACGTATCAGACACTCTTCTAATATGGAAATTGTAGATCACAGCCATCTCGAGGAACTTCTAAGTTCCACCATTAGATGTCGCATAGTCACAGCCACTCACACTGTAAAGCCTCGTATGATTTACAGCAGTTATTGGTGTATCATAATAATTGTGGCAAAGTTTGTCACCATTCTTCAGTAGGAAATAATGCTAATATGTCTTTTAATAATGCTAAAATGTCTTTTAATTTCATCTTAAATCTCACCATTCCTTAGCATGCATATATTTGTAATAAACTGAAATCTGTTTTTTATGCCTGAGGAGGAGTTATACTAAAATAGATATTTAATTTTCGTAATTTTATATATTTTGTTGATTTCATGTTGTACTTTTTACTGACATATTAAATTTTACAAAGTGGCTATTTATACATATAGTATGTATATGCAATTGGCTATTTATACATATGATATGTATACTCAATTGGCTATTTAACCCTTTTAAAGCCATGATGTAAAGATGATAGTTTTAATGTTATTTATAATTTAGGATATCCTAAATTTTGATTATCAATATCCTAATTATGATATCGATTATCGAGAAATGAGAATTAAAAATGGCATTGAGGAAAATCTTGATAGCAAAATATCAAAATTTTATAATACATCGTTCTTGTTCATTTTTGGAATTCTTTTAGTGCACCATATCATCATATTCTTATGATAAGAAAATATAATAATTTGGACATATTTTCAAAAACTTGCTTTCATGCAAGATATATTATTTCAATTGAAAATGCACTAAGTATGGATACAGATGAAGTAAATGTAGACATCGATGATCATATTGAAGATGAAACTTTTACTGATGATTTTGATTGTCCCAACAAACTATTATCGGATAGGGAAAAATTTAATATGGCACTGGCGATAACTAAAAATATTGCAGATATTTTGTCTAATTATGGAACGCAAGCCTTCAATAAATATGTAGAGGAATTAAAAGTAATAGAAAGCAATGCAAGAAATGGAATTTCTCTTTTTGAACATGAGAATAGTGGGCTTAAAATTGAACCAGAACCTGAAGAACAAATTTGGTCTAATAACGAGCCCTGCTCAAATCGATCAAATAAAAACTTAAAATTCAAAACTAAAATTAAATCCAAAGGACGTCTGAAGAGAAAGACTAAGCAGACCAAAAAAAAATTAAAATACAGAATAAAAAATAATATATTTATTTTACTTTATTGGTTTACCTACTAATCTACTTTAAATTTCATTACCTATATTTCACTGATTTAATGATACTTCATAGTTTATTGGTTACTTTATTGAACAACATTGTAACTGAACTTTAAAACTATAATTATTTATAATTGTGTAGTTATTATCAAAATATTAATTGTAATAACAGCGCATACAGTCGGTATCCAGCCAGAATATAGGAATATACAGTCAGTATGTATAAATAGCCAATTGCATATACATACTTTATGTATAAATAGACACATCCTAAATTTTATTCTTTCCACATTTTTATTATTATTAACAATTTTTAACCTGTCAAAAATGATGAGAGAAGAAATGAAAAATTGAGTTATACTGAAAACTATGCAAGCTTTATTTGAACTATAAAATTTCTTTACACAACATTCTTCCTGAAGACCATGTCAGCTCTTGATAATTTTTGTCATCCTGAATCTGAAATATAAACTTCTAAGTTCTTGCTGTTGTAGCATCGTAATCTAATTTACCTAATTTTGTCAGTCTTTGAATTTGGATGTGTATCATCTGGCAAAATTCATATACTTAACTTGGGTGGAAAATGTTGTCCATTACCAATGATGATATCAAGTGGATCTTGTCAATGCTATTTTCAAGATTTAATAATTTTTGAGTTTCAATTCACTTACATTGAAGAAAATCAATTACTTCTGATGCTATGGCTTAGGTTAAAATTAACTATAATGTGCTGTGTTAAAATTAATCTAATAATAAGAAAAATTACTGTTTTTACAAAAATTTAATAGTGAGCAAAAACAATTATCAGTTTTACACATTTAACAAAATTTAGAATAATCCTAAGGTCAATTTATAGCCATACTACATCATCACTAAAATAGAAAGTGTATTAATACATTTACAGTTATTGCTATAATATTTCAAGTTTTATTTTTATCTTTTTCTAACAAAAAAAAATTTTTTTATTGTGATCGACTTTTTCATACTATAACATAGTATAATCTCATTTACCATGAAAAATTTAATTAAAATTTTAATATGAAATTTATTTTCTAAATCCTAATGTCTCTTACTTTCTTTGTCCACACAATTAAAAAGTGTGCACTTGTGCCTCTAAGAAATTTCACTTTTATTTAAATTAGCCAAAGGTACCTGTAACTGGTTGTGTGTGCCAACTCTTCAAGTATAATCCGTTTCATGAAATTGGTTGTGGAACAAAATTCCATGTAATAATAGCAATGTTTCTATTAATTTTAATAAAAAGTTGATGGAACATATCAAATTCAAAACCATCCTTTTTAATCCAAATACTTGCTGACTTAACAAATGTGAGCAGAAATTTAAATTACAACTTTTCAATGTATATATGCTCTTTATAAGCAATTGTGCTATTGTATAAATAATCCAGTTGTTCAAAAAAATATAAATGAATAATGAGACTATTAATAAAAATTTCCAAACAATAAAATGCAAAATAATAATAAACATTACTGTTTTTAAAATAATGTTTTTTTATATAACTGAATAATTTTCTATCTATATTGTTTTCCTGTGTTAACCATTTCCAGAATTCTTCTATGCTTGTTTTATCTTACGGTCATTATTTGCAATATAGAGAAACTTATTCACAGTAATAAAAATTAATCTGTACAATGAAAAATGGACATAAATTTCAATTGCCTATCAAAGTACAGTACTTGTTCATTTAACTGGAGAATAGAATGTGTAGTCTATTGTGATTTGCCAAGCTGATGCATAATGCATGTCTTGTTACTACCAAAGTTTTGCTATGTAAATTTATTCTTTAGAATTACAGTATAGTGTTGTTTATCCAAATCAATTGGGGACTGGGGTTGTTCAGATAACCAATTATGTACAAAAAATTATATTAACCAATCACATGCTGAAATTTTTCTCCGTTGCGTGTCGCTTTGCGTTGAATTTTCATCGATGTTAAGCCTAACGAAAATTTTTATAATAATAATCGTAGCTATTGAATCGTTAAAAATTATTTCTTTATTTTGTACAAACAAAATAAATACAGTGGAACTTCAGTATACGACCTTAATCCGTTCCTGGTGTTTGGACTTATACCGAATAAGACATATACCAAACCAACCTTTTCCATAAGAAGTAATGTAAAAATGATTAATCTGTTCTCATGTAAAAAAAATGACTGGCTTTAAACACCTTGCTTTCCTGGCTAGTTCCTCCTTGATTTTTCATGAGATCAGCATGCATCTTTTTAGCTTTCTTGCAAATAATTGCTTCTGAAACGCTGTTGCCAGCAGACTGTTTTTCAGTTATCCAAAGCAAAAGCAATTTCTCAACATGATCTAATGTCTTTAATCTCTGTTTAGAAATTGATTTAACCCCTTTCGCAACATTAGCAAATTTAATAATGTCTTTATTTTTCATGATTGTCAATATTGTTGTTCTCGAATACGGTATACAACAGTTAAATCTCGAACACGCATGCCACCTTCATATTTCTCAACAACATCTTTTTTCACTTCCATTGTGATTCTAGTCATTTATTTATTTTTCTGTTGCCTTTTTGCAGTTCATGACAAAAATCTGAAGACTGTCAATGTTAATATAAATTTGACAAAAATCTGAAGACTGTCAATGTTAATATAAATTTATAAAGGATTTTGTGTGTACCAATTATAAAAGTTCTATGCATTTATTTTTAAAAATAAAATTCATTATTTAAGTTCAAAATTTTCTATTTGCAAAATTTATTTACTAATAAATTGTTATTACAATTAAAAATATTTAAATATTTTCTAATTTTAATTTAAGAAGCTCCTTACACAATCATTAGTGTGAGAGAACCTTTGGCAAAAGTTCGGCAACAAACTAAGCAGAAAGGAAGAGTTCAGGATTATCAGGTTGAAATGTTAATGTATTTCTGAGAAATTATTTATATAAACTCTGAATTTAGGATAGTAATTTTTTTTTATGTAGGCAAAATACAATGAAAATGAAAATTATTATTCTGAAGTTACTGAAGAAGAACAGATGTATGCAGAAATAAATTCTGCACAAGAAACTGCACAGTTTTCAGATCAAAGAAATTTAGAATTACCTCCAGCACCACCGACTGTAGAAAGTTTAAAATCTGTAGCTCAAGCTCATTCAAGACAAGGTAGGCAGATAAAAAAATTTCCAATAATTTTTAATTATACAGTATATTATTATTATTATGAAACATTAATTATTAATACATTTTATATTTTAATAAAATTAACAAATCATTAGAGAACAAATGTATATTTTGCTTCCTTCTTCACATTATTATGGAATATGTTAATTATTCATAAAAATATTAAATAATGACAATTGATTTTAACAACTGAAATATTTTTATAGCATCGATAGCATCTACATCATCCAGTGGAAGTTGTGTGCCAAATGTATTAACCTCAGGGACATCTGCACCTTCTCCAACAGATATGAATGGATTGTACTCAGTTGTTGATAAATCGAATAAACAACGAAAAACCATACACTTGGGAGAGGGTGCAAGCTTATTAAATTTTAATGAAGCTGGGACCAAAATAGAAGATATGTATGCTAAAGTGCGAAAGAAGCGAGTGCAGTCAGTGAGATGTTCATCCGATGCGGATGACAGTAATAAATTTGAAGGCATTTCTGATGATGTGTTCAATGTATCGACTCCTGTATGGATACCGCGCAGTCCAAATGGAGAAGAATTTTTTACAAACACTAATCTCTATGTACCTGCGGTTCCAGTTCATTCTGTTGAAGCAGATTATCCACCGAAAGATTGGAATGAAAATGTCGAACCTGGATATGAAGCTATTAAAAATCAGAAAAAAGAAGAAAGTGAACCTGATTATGAAAAAGTAAGGGAAGATTGTGATGATCCTCTTTATGAAAAAATAAGGCAGCAACCACAAAATGGAAATGGTGAACCAACATATGAAAAATTAAAACAAAGGACTAATAGGAAAACAGATGAAATAGAACAATCAAGAATTGATAGCAATGCATCAATCAATAATTGTTCTGGATCGCTAGAAGATTCTGATCCTGGATATGAGGAAGTTAAAAAAATTCAAAGATCAGATAGTGATGCTACTGATCCAGGATATGAGGCTGTGAAAAGAAGTCTTTGTGATGACCCAGATTATGAATCTGTTAAAGTGAATAACAACATAGATTCTAATGGCCCAAATAATTACAAAGTAACACAAAGTGTAGATTTTAATGGGATATCATCCTGTGATGAATCGGAACCTGGGTATGAAAGTGTTAGACATAATGAAAACTTACCAGATGACGAGGATCCAGACTATGAGAGAGTTCACAGAGCAGAGAGTGAGGTAGACCCAGGTTATGAAAGAGTAGGTCGACATAATGTTGAAGATCCAGATTATGAGAGAGTCCAGCATTGTGAAAGTGACTTTAGCGATCCAAATTATGAAAGAATAGATAGGGAAGAAATTGACTTCACAGAACCAGGATATGAAACTGTAAAATATGATCAAGAAAATATACAAACTGATACAAGCACAAGGCCAAATTCCTTTCCAAACAGTTCAACAGATTGTAATTCTAGACGGATTGAAGTTTCTATATATTCAAAATACACTCGAACACACAGTTGCAGCGAGCTTACTAACAGTGATGAACAAGGTATATCAATTTCCAACGAAAATCACACCGAGTTATCATCCACCACACATACATCTGTGATAATTAATAAAAATGAAGAGGTCATAGACGACCAGAAATTTCTAACCCATGATGCATTTCAGTAAAATGAAATATCTTTTTGATTTTTTTAATTCCAAATGAGCTTGCAAGAATTTACATAATTGTATTATTATAAATTTCATATAGAAAGATTTAAACTAGATAATTGGTGCTAAAAAGTAATTCCAGAGATTATCATCAGGATTTAATGATCATTTCATTAGTAATCAAAATGTAAGTTTTGTACATCCTTGTTTCATTTGATTCAGATATTTTAAAAGTTGTTTATAATTATTTCTTGTATATAATAACAGATCAAATGCACATTTTGTTACACATTATAATAATTTATATTTAAATGTTAATTTTTGTGCCATTATATAAATAATTATTTTGATAGTAAGTTGGCATATAATTATTGTAGTTTTTTCTGTATATGTGGCAATAATTTTTGTCTGTTTGTTTCATAAAGAAAATTAAATATATAACTTTATTCCAATAAATTATGCATTTCATTGTTTACAGTGAACTACCTGAAATTCGAGTACTGGTAACCCAATTCTGCATTTGAGCAATTGTTAATCTTAAACACTTCACTTTTATACACTCCTGTGAATATCAAAATGTAAATCATACAAATATATAAGATTTTAATTTCGTAATCCAATGAATTCTATATACAACAACTAATTGTATTTCAGGTTATTCACTGTATTTGCATAAATGTTTTATGTGAATTATTTTTAGATGTACACATCTATTTAGTGCAACTGTTATAAACCTTAAAAGGTTGTTGATATCATGTTGTGATAAAGTTTACATGATAAAATATTAACACTTTTCCTTTGTAATAATCAAGGCCAGATTTTTAGTTATTGATTTTTGTGCATTCATATATCTTTTAAGGTATTTGTCCTATAATTTTGAATGCTTTCTCAGTGGAATTGGTGTTTTTGGAAGTATAAATTATTATTCAAAAATATATAAATATATACATATAATGAAGATTCATGTATTATTAGTTAAATTTGTGCATTACATGAATGGTTAGTTGATTATAATGATTTATAATCAGCTTCCAGACTACTTTCATTGTGTGTGATGTCTTTCAATCAAATTTATATTTACAAAAAATTGTCTGCCAATGAAAATTTTTATGATATTGGATCGAAAAATGTGCAAAATGGCTAGAATATTGTAATTTATATATGAAACGACAACAAGCTAATGTATTATTATAGTACAAATATTTGTTTTAAAAGCTTCCTATAAGAATAAATAACGAATATTTACGGTTTATGGAACTATTATGGAGAATCTTAATTATCTTTTCAACAGTTTTATTTATAAAATGAGATTTTATGGAAATAATATACTTTGTATGCCAAGGAAATTGTTTTATAAATTTCTGAAATTAAAATAATTTATTTAACAGAAGTATTGTATAAGAGATTTAAATTTTTTTTATTTAAACTATTTAACAATTTGGAATAATTAAATTCATTATAATAAAATTATTTAAACAATGAATTTTGTGTAAAATTGAAATTTTTTTGATAATAGAATCATGAATTAAAAATTTCTGTTTATAGTTTTGTAAATAATTTTCAAAGTCGGAAATTTGTTTTATTATTATAATTTATTTATTATTATATTTTCAGAAATTATTTTTATTATTATAAAAATAATTTTAAAACTGTACACTCATCAACTGTTAATGTTTGTCAAACTGAAATGGCTTCACTTTGATATTTGCATTAGTCACATCTTTGGTTATATCTATTCCCAATGGACACCTGAAAATGAAAAGTCAATTTAATCTTTTAGTATTTTTATTGATATTTTATTACTATCAGTAATAGATATATTTGTGTCTGCAATTGAATTTTTAATTTAAACAATATCTTTAAAAACAACTCAAATATGCAAAGGCATATCAGTAGTTCTATAGCATGCTTTTCCAAATGACAATCATCTATACCAATATGAAAGTTTAACTAGTTTCTAGGAAACTAAGAACAATATGCAATAAAGTATTGTTCCTGGTTTATCAGACTGGGCTTATTGTAAAACACATTTTCAGTTTAATTAATAAGTTGTCAAATTTGAATCATGCAACCATACATGTTCCTCAAAGTTTCCAAGAATTTAACCACATTGTCATCTCTATTCCTTTATAACTTTAGCTACGATCAAATCTCACTTCCTCTTGTACCACAAATGACAAAAAACTTTCTTTCATGTCTCAAATTTTAGATGAATTTTGTGTGTAGTTGGTTATAATAGTAGAACTAGAAGTGCTACTATTGAATATCAGAATAAAGGTTTATACTATTTGTCAGGCACATAATGTTTTATTTTCAATCAAACAAAAAGTGTCAAATAGTTTTAAGTGCAAGTATTTATGTATAGCAACATAGTTTTGTTTATACGCATGCCAATTCAGGAAAGGAGCTTCCACCATTCTCTGCTAACATGTTTTTTCTGAATCTGTTGGAACAAGCATGAATGGAGACAGCCAGATTGCTCTACTACATGCCAAAAGCTACTTCATCTGAAACATGGTGATCATGTCCTTTTTTTAAGAGCCTTTTCTGTCTTTCCTAGAAGAACATTAGAATGCTTGAGTATGATTTCAAAGTACAGTGGGTAATCGGTTAACGAACACTTTCGAGAAAGATTTTTATGTTCGGACAATGAACATATGATCGGATAACGAACACCTCACAGAATAAATACAAGAAGAAGCGATGTAAAATAATGAATACCGATTGATTTTCTCTTGTCTTCAGGTAACAATTTGAAACACTTCGGAGTGCTGGAGGCGTCGACATCGACGCTTAAGCCAGTTTATACCGATCGGATAGTATTCCTCTGAACTTTGAAACTCTCCCTTGTAATTCCAGTCTTTTATTTTTCTGACAAAACAATTCTTTTATGTATTCACGAGACTGTCGGGTAGGCACTCGTTAAGTTTTGTGTCTGTTTTTCTTTTCGAAAGGTGAGAGTATAATAACAAAGATAGAGAGTGGGCAGAAGATGCCTAATGTTGCTAGGCAGTATGGCGCGAACAGGTGTACAGTAGGCCGAAATTCAATCTTATTGTACTTAAGAAAAATACAGTATAATCAAGAAAACTCAAGCAGCTAAAGGAGTAACAAAGATCACATCTGAGATATTAATTTAATTACGAAA